AAAAATTAAAAAATGTAACATGTCCTGGGTCTTATACATTCCATCCAATCCAGACAATGAGTCCAGACAATGAAACAGAAGATGGATCTGGATTGGCTCTTTCGATGGCAAGCTTAGCAAAGGTTCAGTTCTGGATGTTACATAAAAAGATTTTTGATGGTAAACTGAAAGCTTATTTTTTATGTTAAACAAGACTCTCCTGGCTACCTTGTTGCATCAACTTTTTGTGGGCCCTCTAGGGAGTATCCCTGAGCCAGCCCCCTACCTAATCAGGAAGGTCGAGGAGCGTGAAGCAGGAGGGCTGAATGCTTTATGACTTTCTCTCCCTCCCAAACTGTTACATAACAATAGCTATATTTTCATATATTCCCATATTACTGCCTGATAAACAGATTATTACATGTTATGAAATTAGCTTTGTATAGATACCAAAGTCGACATGTCTAAAAATGCCTTAGAAGGGTTAATGTGTGTCTCTAGCCTTCTGGACCTTCTAAACCCATTGATAGCCTGTGCTCCAATTTATAAGATATTATATATATTAGGGATGCACCGATACCGATACAAGCATCGGTATCGGCGGCGATACCGAGTATTTGCATGAGTACTCGTACTCATGCAAATACTCCGATACCTAAAATGAGTACCTGTGCCGCGTCCGCCATCTTCAAGGACACAAAACCGCCGCACACAGGACCTCCATAGCGTCTGCAATCAAACAAGATGCCCGCGAACTCCTCCACGGGCGAACGGCCGAAAGTTAACTCCACCTCCAAGTCCTCAGTCCTCACTCCTGACTTGTGAGGAAGCCTGTCAATCATCCAATCAGCAGGAGAAGAGTCTAGCATGGAGCAGATGACTAGGCTGTGACATGGAGTGGCTGAAGGAGACAGAGACGACACAGCAGGTAAGCACTGCGGCACCGCATGGGGGCTGGGCACATGGAACAAAAATAATATATGCCTGTAATGTTGTTTAACTTTATATAATATTAAAAAAAAGACATTAAATAATGAAATTAATAAGTAGATCTTGCCATTGCTAACTAAGGCTTGTATCCCCCTAGTGAGGAAAATAGATGAGCACAGCTATATCCAATTCTGCATACCTGGCTTTATATTATAACAACTTTATAATATAAAGCCAGGTATGCAGAATTGGATATGGCTGTGCCACACTATACAATACAGTGTTCCGGAGTCTGGACATGTGATCATCTATTTTCCCCACTAGGGGGATACAAGCCTTAGTTAGCAATGGCATGATAAATATTCATTTCATGTTCATGTTCTTCATAATATGAAGAAACTGACCTAAAATCATTATTTTGTATTGCTTTAGAAAAAATGTGACCTGCCCCTTTAAGAAAAATATTGGTAATTGGTATCGGTGAGTACTTAAAAAAAGTATTGGTACTCGTACTCGGTCTTAAAAAAGTGGTATCGGTGCATCCCTAATATTAATATATATATATATAAAATGGTGTTAAAAAATGCTGCAAAGTAAGAAGGCTTTCAGAAATACAAGTGTTAATAGTTTATTTTTGTCAATTAACAAAACAGAAAGTAAATTAACAAAAGAGAAATCCAAATGATATCAATATTTTGGTATGACCACCCTTTGCCTTCAAAACAGCGTCAATTCTTCTAGGTACACTTGCACACAGTAATTGAGGGGACTCAGCAGGTAGGTTGTTCCAAACATCTTGGAGAACTAACCACTAGGGATGCACAGATACCAGTTCAGATACCAGTGCCGATACTTGGCATTTTTCACAAGAACTACCAGGGTTGCAGAAGTTGTGACCGGGCCCTGGCGCTCTATCACCGGACTGAAATTATTAGTCTGTATTGTTTTAGAAAACTGTCACATGACAATAAACAGAAAGGTATCAGTAATTGGTATCTGTGAGGACAAGTATTGGTACTTGTACTTGGTCTGGAAAAAATTGTATCGATGCATCCCTAATAAATGATATATATATAACAAATCATACATTAAAACAGGGATACACAAATCCCAGGAGCCCTGTAGCCAATGCTCCTTAAAAATGACACCTGCCTCCTAACGTTTGAGTTTTTACTCTAGTCTAGTAGCTGGAAAAGTATCTGTACTTGTACTTTTACTTGTACCAAGTATGGTACTTGGTATCTGTGCCAAGTACTAGACATGTGCGATTCGTTTCGGAAAAATTTGTTTTTCGGACGAATTTTCATTATTCAGAGATTCGGATGTACCAAAATTTCCAAATAACAGAAATGATGAATGAAAACGACTCAGAATTTCCGAAAACTATGGGGTTCCCTAATTAGTAATTGTGTACCCAGACCTCAATACCATTGCAGTGAAAACGTTTGCTTCTCCCTCTTCTCTTTTTCTGATTGAGGGCTCTTAGCAGGCTCTGGCACTTGGGAGGAGGTTGATGGAGCTGCTGTAAAAAGTTGCACTGATAGACTCCTGGACCATTTGTTTCAAGAGAGAAACATCCTCTCTCATGTCCTCCTCTTTGGCCAGGAAGTGAAGAGAGGCTGAACAAATGGAATGCTTACCCGCTTTCCAGTTACCATAAACAGGGAGACAGAGAGGTAGAAAATAAAGTCTATGGATCCAATTACTTTGCGATTAAAGTAAGCTGCATATGTAGCCTCTTTAAAGCTTACTTCTGCACACTGACTATGTCCATTTGCATTTTGTTGCTAGGGATGCACCAATACTTTTCGAGTACCAGTGCCGATACTTGCCATTTTCATGAGAACTACCTTGGTTGCAGCTGGGACCTAGCTCTGGTACTCCACCACTGTCCTAAAATCATTAGTCAATATTGTTTTAGAAAATCTGTCACATGACAATAAACAGAAATGTATCAGTACTTGTACTTGTAAGTACTTGGGCAAGTACCAGTACTTGTACTTGCAAAACTGGTATCGGTGCATCCCTTTATTTATAAAACAAAATCATACATTAAAACAGAGATGTACAAATCCCAGGAGCTCCGTGTGCTCCTTACAAATGACAGCTGCCTCCTAACTTTTACATTTTTCTCTAGTCTAGTCTTGGAGCTTGAAAAGTATCTGTACTTGTACCGAGTACAGTACTTGGTATCGGTGCATCCCTAATTGTTGCTAATTTACTTGAGAAATGTCCCTCACTGTGATTTCCCTTTATATCTGCAATGCCTCTGACAAGCCACCTCCTGCATTCCTTTTGGTTGTCTCTGCAACAGATAGCCACAGCAGCAAATAGGATTACTAGGAATGTAAAGAACCGAATAACAACCTGGGGTCGGGTGCCCCCCCCCCCCAATTTGATTCATACCACACACTTATTCCAGGCATTGTATTTCTACATTTGCAATTAATGTGATAAGCAATGTTATCACCAGCAGATGATCCACAGAGCTCTTCACACCAGCACAGTATCCTAGGATTGCTGGTTATTAAGGGGTCAATGTTTAGTTATATTAGAAGGTTGGATAATAAGTGGTTAATGTTCAGTACCTTTATATATGATGATGCAAGAATAGTTCCCTCCTCCTGATGAAGAACAAGGTCCAAAACTTCATGTGGAGAGGGTGTCTGCACAGTGTGATGTAGTTAAGTAATATTCACTAGAAACTGGCTGTTTTTGGATTGGACATCAGACACAATGTGCTAACACTGGTATGCAGGATACTTGTATGTATGTATGTATGCACATTTTTAATAAAGTTTGTTTTAAAGTAGAATTCTGATTTAAGATAAAAATCGCACCTCCATCCCTAACGTCTTGGTTGCTGTAAACTGAAAGCAAGGCTTGGTTCCTAGGCGCAAAGAGCAAAACCTGGTTCCTGGATGGTAAAAGTTAGGCTTGGTTCCTAGGCGCTGAGAGCAAAGCTTGAAACCTAAGAGCGAGGTTGGTACCTGGAAGCAGAAAATGAGGCTTGGCACCTGGAAGCTGAAAGCAAGGCTTGGTGCCTGGAAGCTGAAAGCGCAGCTTGGTACCTGAAAGCAGAAAATGAGGCTTGGCACCTGTAAGCTGAAAGTGAAGCTTGCTACCTGAAAGTGAGGCTTGGTACCTGGAAGCTTGAAAGTGAGGCTTGGTACCTGGAAGCTGAAATTGAGGCTTGATTTCTGGAAGCTGAGAGTGAGACTTGGTTTCTAGATGCAGAAAGCAAGGCTTAGTGCCTGGAAGCTGAAAGCGTAGCTTGGTACCTGAAAGTAGAAAATGAGGCTTGGCACCTGTAAGCTGAAAGTGAAGCTTGCTACCTGAAAGCGAGGCTTGGTACCTGGAAGCTGAAAGTGAGGCTTGGTACCTGGAAGCTGAAAGTGAAGCTTGGTACCTGGAAGCTGACATTGAGGCTTGATTTCTGGAAGCTGAAATTGAGGCTTGATTTCTGGAAGCTGAGAGTGAGACTTGGTTTCTAGATGCAGAAAGCGAGGCTTTGTACCTGGAAGCGGAGACTGAGACTTGGTTTCTAGATGGAGAAAGCCAGGTTTGGTGCCTAGAAGCTGAAAACAAAGTTTGGTGCCTAGAAGCTGAAAGTGAGGCTTGGTAACAGAAAGCTGAAATTGAGGTTTGGTACCTGCAAACTGAAATTGAGGCTTAGTTCCTGGAATCTAAAATTGAAGCTTGGTTCCTGAACATACACAGCAAGGGGGAGCTTATTGTTAGAAATGGACTGACTTTGGATACAGGTACCATGCTTATCTTTTTACTTTTGTAGAGGATTATGGAGAAGAGGAAGCACTACAAACTGTCATTAATTTGACTTTAGATATACTTTCTTGCAATAAACCTTTGTGAAACTCTGCTTTATAGCACCAGTGTTGAAGATGGTTGTGACTAAATGCACACACACAAGCGTTCAGGAACACGCCTAAATTCAGAATGTAATAGACAAATGGGAGCACGCTTAGCACTGTGAGATGGACAGGGTTAAATTCTGGGTGTTTACTGTCACGCCTCGTACAGAGCTCTATAAATAAAGATGATGGCACATGATGATATGGTGTAATAGCCCAGTGTATGACGAGGATGCTGCTGGGGTTTGTGGTGGTTGGAGTGTTGGCTGGAATTTGTGCTGCTCAGTTTAATCCTAATGTGCTGTGTGATAGGACAAGTATTGTCCACTTGTTTGAGTGGCGGTGGGAGGACATTGCTGCAGAATGTGAGCGGTATCTAGGACCTAATGGATTCGGGGGTGTTCAGGTAAAAGGTGGCTCATTGACTGATTAGTTGAACTAATACGGCATGTGTCTGTTTCTTGGGGGTAGTAGGGATGATTAGGTTGCAGAGAACAGGCATGGGCAAATCTAGCTAGAGGTTGAGTATATATTGTTGTGGTTTGTGGTATAGCAAGATGAAGAAAGTTGCAATGTAAATAAAATATGCTAAAACTTGACATGATTTAGGTTATGCGTGCAGCATTAGAAGCTTTATGACCTTGGTGTGAAAGCCATTGCAACATCAGTTTAGCAGCTTGGATACTTGGAGACCATTTACTCCTTTCTACGTATGTTGCGACTTTCCTGTGTTGACATATGTGTTAACACTAACAATGGTCCATTTAACACATTTAAATGTGTGAAAAAGCATACATGCACTACTTTTGGCAAAAGTACATGTGTTTTAGTGTGCTATAGTGCAGGTATAGTTGTGTGGGGTTTAAAAAAAAAAAAACCCTCTAATATGTGTGTTTGTGTGCCCTTTAGAATGAATGGGAATGCACATAACTCACTTGGCTGCCAACTGTCCCTGCTTGGGACCCAAATCTCTGGCTGGATTTACACCACGTTCCTTATATTTTGATTTAATTGACGCATGATCAATGGATTGTTCTTGGGGGGTGGGGATGCAATTATGTGAATTTTGTTTTAGCATGTTGCTTTGATGTGTTTGTTTTTTTTTGTTTACAGCAGGAGACAAACTTCATGATTTTTCTTTCTAAAAGTATAACTAAAAGCAAAACTTTTCTTTCTTAGATTTGAAGAAAAAATGGTGAGGGGTTAGAACCACTATATTTTTTGTATTGCTCTGTGTCCGTGTTAGGAAGATTTTGCCATCTCTGATTGTCCTGATCACTTTTTTTTTACCAGGAATGAATGTTGGGGTAAATACAAAATATTGAGTTTCCACCAAAACAGGACTAGAGGGGAAAACTTAATCCTGTGACAACTAACTAAGAGGAGATGTTCCTTACATTTTGAAAGATGGCCTTCTAGGGTAAAAAATTGTGGGCAGGTAACTTTTACTGTGGTAGAGCACAGGCTACAAATTCAAGGGGTAGACTCTACTTGTTAAAATAGGAACAGCTGTAATGCCAGCAATTTCGCCGATCTAGTATTAAGAAGCTGGGCATTGGGGTGACTGGCTGAATATTTTTTTTATGCAGCAGCAGCTGGGGAAGAGATACCTGCCTGTCAACAATGTATCTGGAGATGCTGGGGCGAGGTTAGAAAACTTAGATCACAGTTAAATGGTGCCAAAATGAATGATAGATTTACCATGCTTGATATGATACAGGCAGAGGCTACAAATCACTATGGAGCTGTCTGTTGCACATGTGTGAAAATAGGCCCAGACTGCTGAGCCTTGCTGAGTAGAACTGGGGATTCATCCGGTTGAATAGTGTGGTTGCTCCCTCAACTCCTTTGCAAACTGCTGCTGGATGACATCCTGCCTAGCTGATGTTGTGCCTCTCCCTTACTTTCCTCCTCTGCAATCTCAGGCACCCAGGTACAATCTGCCACTTTATCACCCACACCCTTCTCATTGCTGGAGCCCACTTAGCAGTAAATAGTAATTTTACTAACTTTTGAGGCTCTAACATACAAGTACAAAATTGCAGATGGCAAATATGGTCTGGCCACCTGATGTCTAAAATAGGAGATAGTGCCTTGAGGCGAAATAATTAAAGTTTACAAAGTATTTCATTTTTTTTTATTAGAAAGCAGCCACAACTGAAGTAGAAAAGCCTGCTCTCTTTTGTGGAAGCAGTGGTTTCTGTACAGAACTCTTGACTTGCCATGTGCTAAGTCAGACCTGTAAGGTTGCTGATTGGAGAGTTCCAGCTCAAACTCAGGAGGATGGGGTGTCTACTGCTTCCATAAAGAGAACAAGGGTCCTTCATTACAGCATGTTGGCAGGGGACAAGCTTTTCTACTCAGGCAGTGGCTAATCTTGTGTGTCACTCAGCTGTAGATCATAGGCAGGGCTTGAAAAATCCACTAGTCCGCTCGTCTGTGATGAGAGGATGGTGGAGCCCGACGAGCAGTTTCCAGACCGGCCGGGAGCTTTACATTCAAGCGATCGGGCATCTCCAGAGACGCTCGATCGCTTGTATTAGCAGCTGTCACTGCCGTTGCCGGTCCCGAGATCCGATGTGGCCAGGACCGGCACGGCTCTGTGACAGGAGATCAAAGGGAGTTCAGTATATGAACTCCCTTTGATCTCCTCTCAGTCCCCAATTGTAGGAAGTGATGTATATTACATCACTTCCTGCTTTCAGTGTCACTCTCCAGCTACAGAAGCTGATGAAGCAGATCTCTGCTTCATCAGCTTCTCTGGGGGTCCCTAGGTGACATTAGGGGTCTTGGAGACCACTGATGTCTCCATTAAGAGGACCTGTCATGTAAAATGGCTATCCCATAGGGGGCATCTTGGCCTCCCATGTAATAGCAATAAAGTTGTGTGTAAAAAAAAAAAAAGTAATACAAAAATTAAAGAACCATTAAAAAAATAAAGAAGCATAAAAAAATGTAAAAAGAAAAAATGTTTTTAAAAGTCCCCGCCCCCACACACACGCAGTGGACCTGAAGAAAGCGGGCTCCCATGTGGTTTTCCTCCAGGAGACCCATTTTAAAATTGACCATGTTCCAAAACTACAGAACAGAGACTTCCCAATATCTTACCACTGCCCGTCCCCCATTGCCAGGTCCAAGGGTGTCAGTGTTTTACTGTCCAGAGCGGTGGCATGGACCTTCAGGGACCTCAAATCTGACCCAGAGGGTAGGTTTTTGTTTGTGAAAGGCTTGGTGGGGGATCAACTAGTTACGCTGGTTAATTTATACCTTCCCAACGTGGGCCACGTTTCCTTCCTCCAACGTGTACTCCCTCTCCTACTTGAATTTGAGGAGGGTCTGTTGGTCATTGGGGGGATTTTAATTTTGGCCTCGATCCCCTACTAGATGTATCTAGGGCAGCCTCTCACCTCTCATACTCATGCCTTAAAAAACTGAAATCGGAACTTCATCTCCTCCAACTAACTGACATGTGGCGTTTTTTAAACACGCAGACCCGCGATTACACGTTCTATTCTTCTGTCCACAACACGTACTCCCGATTGGATTACTTTTTTCTCAGACACAGGGATGTTCCGCTTGTAAGGGGCGCCTCGATTGCTGACATCCTGCTATCTGACCATGCCCCGGTGCATATGGCACTGGAATTACTCCCTTGGGCCCCGAGAAGCCCCTCGTGGCGTTTAAACGAATCACTGCTGCAAGACCCATTGATTAGATCCGAATTGGAATTCACCATCTCCTCCTATTTCTCTGACAATTGCTCCTCCGCAGTGGCACCCCTACTAGTGCTAAATCGGGTAAGGCCCCCGGCCCTGATGGCTATACTCTACCATACTACAGGACCTTCTCCCACCTTCTCGCCCCTCACTTCCTGTCCACGTTCAACTCCATCATCTCGGGCTCTTCCCTCCCAGGGGATGCCTTACGTGCGCACATTGCGGTCATTCCCAAACCTGATAAGGATCCCTCGCAGTGCGGTAGCTATCGCCCGATAGCCCTTCTCAACCTGGACTTGAAGCTCTTTGCCAAGATCTTGGCTAATCCACTGCTTCCTCACATCCCTGACCTCGTACACTTAGATCAGGTGGGTTTCGTTCCGGGACGGGAGCGCGGGACAACACTACCAGAGTGATTAATGCTATTCATCACGCCCACTCCACCCTGTCACCCTTCATGCTGTTATCCACGGATGTGGAGAAGGCGTTTGACAGGGTGGAGTGGCGCTTTATCCAGGCGACCCTCCGCCACATGGGTTTGGGCCCCGGTATGTTAAAATGGATCTCTGCATTATATTCATTCCCGTCGGCCGCTGTCCGTGTGAACGAGACCCGCTCAGATTACTTCCCGATCTCCAATGGACCTCCTGTCCTTGCACTCCCTATCGCTATCTTGGTTCGGCCGCTGCAATGCCATCAAGATGACGATCCTTCCGAGGATACTATACTTGTTTCAGGCCCTCCCAATCCATATCCCCACGTTGTTTTTCCGTTGCTTGTGCCAAATGTTCACTGCCTTTTTGTGGTCCCACGCTCCAGCGAGAATTCGATTTGACACCGTTACTCTTCCAAAAACAGAGGGGGCATAGGCCTTCCGGACATGACCAAATACTATAAAGCGACCGCTCTCGCCCGTGTCTTGGATTGGTGCTGTCACCGGCAGACCAACAATGGGTCAGTATGGAAAGGGAAGATGCCAACTTTGTCCTGGAAGGACTGCCCTGGCTATCCTCACCTTTGACTCCTGTGATACGCCTTCACCCTACCATAGCTCCCACGTTGGTGCAGGTTAGGTCGCCCGGGACGCCAACAAGTTTCGGATTTGTGACATGCGTTCGTCCGCCCGATGGCTTTCCGCCAGTGAACTCGGTCGACTCGTAGACCCTCCATTGGACTCCTGGGGAATCCTTCAATTGAGGCATTTCCTGCTCTCAATCCCTAACTCCCAGCAGCTTTCTCGACCCCTGACCCCCTTCGAGCAGCTCTGTAGAGAGGGACAGCCCACTCGCCACGCAATCTCTACACTCTATTCTCTGCTGATCTCCCCTCCGCCGGAGACATATCCGTCCTTCCTGACGAAATAGGAAAAGGAGCTGAACATTACCCTCACACCTGCCCAAAAGGACCGAATACTCTACTTTGCGCATCACTCCTCCATCACGTGTAGGACCCAGGAACTCGGCTACAAAATAGTGTCCCGTTGGTACCGAGTCCCGACGACCCTCCATTCTATGTTCCCACAAGTTTCCCCCATGTGCTTGAGATGTCAAACTGCAACTGGCACACTACTGCATACATTCTGGTCATTCTCTAAGCTGCTGCCTTTCTGGAGGGGGATGACTGGCATTCTAAAGGACCTGGTGATGGCGGATAGATCGGACGATACCTTGACCTGTCTGTTACACTTAAATGACATGTTCATTGCAAAATAAAAGAAGTCTCTGTCCAGGCACCTTCTCAATGCAGCCTGGTTGTGCATTCCATTGCTATGGAAACAAACCTGTTGCCCCAGCCTCTCCCTCTGGTTCTCTAAGATTAACGAGATATACCTGATGGAGGATATGACCTCCACGCTTCGAAACACTGAAGAGCTCTTCAGGTCCACTTGGAGACCCTGGGTTGCTTATAGAGCAACGGACGCCTACCTGGGGGTGATGTCATCCACCTCCGTCTAACCATTAACAGGCAGGGACCTCGGAGGTATGCCGTACGCGCCCCGGCTCCATCACCTCTATAGCTCTCTCTGGACTTCTTTATCCACTTCTGACCCATCACCCCCTCCTCTTCCCACCCCCTCCTCCTCCCCCCCCTCTTCCGCCTCTTCTCC